AAAAAAAAAAAAAAAAAAAAAAAAAAAAAAAAAAAAAAAAAAAAAAAAAAAAAAAAAAAAAAAAAAAAAAAAAATGAGAAGTTGCATCATACGGATAAAAATTTTCCACTGAGAGCTACTAGCAAATTTTATTAGACACGCGATTAACTGTAAATCGAACCCAAACTCCTTTAAAATATTGATGAAACAAAGATGCTAACGTTTGGAATACTATGGTTCCCATTAAAAGCCTAATGCACATGATGGTATATCATATAACAAGGAAACAAATTTGCAAGATTAATGCGCGCGATGTGAGCAAAAAAAAAAAAAAAAAGGAAAAAAAAAACATCGTACAAAACAGAAACCATTAAGATTTTTCCTCGAGCCAAATATTAGGAGGGATAAGGGATGACCAAACATACGCGCGTGTACATAACAGAAATTGCTGAGGTCAAGTTTTAATATTCTAAACAGTTTCACTACCTGAATCTTCAGACTCTGAACCAGATGAATCAGAACTTTGACTGTCTGTGGAATCCTCTTCCGAACTATAATGACCTCCATTGACTGCATTGATAATCGAAAATTCGGGTTAGATTTAAAGAACGGATTTGTGTGAAAATGGAAGATATTTTTTTCATAATGAACACACCTTGAGCAGAGAGTGTTGGTGATTTATGATCAAATTTCGCCAGCGTTCTTTCCAGTGCCTGGATTTTTTTTTCATTTTCTTCCTCGTTAGCATTCGAACGAGATCTTTTTGAAGGAGACTTCTTTTTCTCTTTGATTTGATTGGACGATGTGTGTTTCAGAACAAATTCATACATCATCCTGGCTGTCTTATAATCGAGTGATTCTATTTCAAGCTCATAGCCCCCATTTCCTCTCTGAGAAGGCCGGGATGTAACAATTTGTCAATTATCATTAAGCATAATAATAATAATAATAATAATATGTGAAAAATCGGATGAAATACCTCCATTGGAGCGCCACTTGATTCAATAAGATTAATGAGCTCATTCATCTTTTCTGTAGAAAGTAGATCAATCTTTTGACTAAGGTCTGATTTTTGATCTGCTGTCAGAGGTTCATCGTCATCATATTTAATAGCAGCCCTGGGACGTTTTAACGATTTCTTTTCGCCTTCATTCGTCTTGGTCTCGATGATCTTGCTTGAACTGGCCTTTGAAATTTTTGCGGCCTTCTTCGTCTTCGCCTTCGATGGCCTTCTCATTTGTGAGATTTGGCTTGACAACGCGGCCAAGTGTTTCTGCAATGCTTTTAGATGATCACCTAATTTTTTTTTTTTTTTTTTTTTTTTTTTTTTTTTTTTTTAATGTTAACGAGCAAAAGTTGAATCAAGAAAATTTCCAAAAATGTCTTTGAAACTTACTTTCGTCCACCTCCGATTCACTTTCAGAATCTTTCATATCATCGACCTTAGTCGTCTGACGAGTCTGAGATGTAGGCTTCTCCGCCCATTTTTTATTAAAGACATCTTCCAACATCTTACCCATGTTATGCACCTCGCTACCAACACCATTATAGGTATAACAATTCTGGAACATCAGACGAATATCGGCCTCAAATTCTTCCGCGCCCGTATACTGATCATTTTCCAACTTTGAATTAATTGTAGATAAATCCATGGGATGTGAAATAATCTTATAATAATCAGGTACACCCAATTTTTCCGCGTCGACAGGTTCATAGAATGGATAGGCATAATGCCAGTGTGTCCTTTTTCGCAGCTCGCGAAGAACCTGCCGACAAAAATTAAGTTCAATGTTCTTTTTACTTTTTTTACGACGCATAGCCGGCGCATCTGGAAGATCTTTGGCTGGCGCTTTAATCGTTCGTTTAGGGCGTTTGGCCTCGGAGGAAGCCTTCGTTGTTGCAACCACTGTCGTCGTTGACGTTGGTATCGTGGTCGTCGGTGTTGAAGTCTCTGCGACTGGTTTACAAGTCTTGGAAGCTTTGCTGGAGGATTCCGCAACAGGCTTCGGCAGAACCTAAAGCAATGAGGGATCAGTACGGTGAAAGGTGATACATCGCCAGAGCGAGTGATAGCTATTCACCTCTTCCTTCGAACCAAGTAGATTGACAAGATTCGTAAACACATTATCCAGCTCCTTTGCAAAAATTGAATATTGATGCGCCGGGCCGTTGTATAGGATACAATTTGAAAAAATTAATCGAACATCGGCTATAAATGCATCAACGTTCCCATATTCAACATTATTGAGTTTGGTGTCAACCGTGCCAAGATCCATTGGCTTCTTAATTATGTCAAAATAATCGGGGATTCCATATTTTACTGGGTCCACTGGTTCAAGAAATGGTGCTGCATTAGAATGGTGCTTTAATTCCCTAATGATATTATTGCATTGTTTAAGGTGTTCGCGGCTCATTGGTTCAGTGAACCAATTTGACTGCGTTCTGAGATTAAAAAATAAAGTGAAAAATATATAATAAAACCATTTCAGATAGTAATATGTATGCTCTGAGATTTAAGCATATAAGGAACTCATGGTGAAAGGGTTGAAAGAAGAAGTATCTGTAAAGAATTTATTTCCCCCCAAAAAAGATCTTCCAAACGTTGCCAAGCGCAACAACAAAAGGAAATTTCAAAACAAGATGGACTCGTAAGAGGACTTTCAAGTAAGCGATTAAACTTGTTCAAAAATTGCGCAACATCTAATAAAAACTCATTCATTTGACAAAACGGTTAAATTTTGATATACCTCGTAACAGTTGAATCAGTAGGATAAGGAGTTTCTATTGCTCGAACTTTTGTCGTCTGTTTCTTACTTTTACCCATTTCCGGCGGAATGTTGGTTTGTGAGGGAAGGAAGGGAAGAGTTGTGATGAGAGTTGGGTATGCTTGTTTCAAAAAATAAAAATGCTCAGGGGTCCTTGTACATTCGAACCAATCGCCGTTCGTATTTTTACATTCACCTGATTTCAGTGTTCTTATGAATGGAATTCTAATTGGCTGTTAAAATAAATCACCCTCCGTGAATAGTTTGCAAACATAACAATTATTATTATAATGAGATTGATAACCAAATAGACTTATTTTATAGTTTAGTTTTCTTAATTTCTTAGTTGGTCCTCTGAAATGGTTGGTTGATTGTATTTATCATAATTCACTGCAACTCGTATAAGCCTGTTTTTTAATTTTTGAATCATTCATTCATTATCCAAGATTAGTTGAAAAAAGAAATTATGAACCAAGAAGGTTAGGTGTTTAAAGTACGATTCTATCCAAACAACGTTACGTACGACCATTTTCAATTATTACATTTAGATGACTTAGTAAATAGATGAAATATTGAATATTTCCTCTTTGTTTATTTATTTATTATTATTTTTTTTTTTTTGATTGGTAAACGTGCTTAAGAAGATGAGACGGATGTTCCGAATAAAATTCTCATGTAGAAGATTTCAATCTATGATACATCATCTAGATGAGTTTCAATTTGACCAGAAATTTCCAAACGAATATCGGAAAATTTCAAGTAAAAAAAAAAAAAAAAAAAAAAACCCATCTAAATGTGGGTATATACTAAAAACCAAACCACCACACACGCGATCTTGTATCCTCAATAATAATGTTCTTACGAGAAAATTTCTCGTCATCATCTATGTACAAAAAACCGGCAGTCTTAAGAAATGAATACCTTCTTCAATTGTGAAAATTGAAATGGTTCATTGGTACGAGGGCATACGATTTTTCCAATTTTTGAATCCATCTCCTGCAATGCCTGGAGGAATTTGAAGGACAGAGATTATTATATTGTCAAATCAGAAAGAAAACCGTTACAATAATGAGGGAATACCGTACATCGTACGAATAAACATAGCCGTTGGGCAAAGCCATAGGAGGGTTATTTTCGTTCATAATTTTACCACTAATACGACACACGATAGTTGAATTCACATGATGACTCATCGGTAGATCTTGAGCCAAAATTCCGAGAGTGTCCGATGAGCACACGGGACAATTGATGTTCTGATTATCCGGTTGGTAACACATTGGTGTTTTTAGCGCCGAGAGTCCCGCCTGAAGGGTGACGTTCAACAGAGGTTGAGATGGAAGTGAATTCAGAGCATAAAAGTCGGATCGGAATTTTACAATCAGCAACTCCCAACGCGAATGATCATACAACGCCTTAAAATAAAGATGATGGTGTAATCAATAATTTAGACACCCACAATAAGTTCCTAGGCGGTCTCGAGTGAATTAACTTAACTACCTTGTAATTCCGGCATTTGGTATTAGGTGGAAAGGCCAATATTCCCATCATCCGAAGGAATTGTGAAAAAAGGGGATCGTTTCGAGGTTTCACTTTATGAGAATCGTTTCTCCTGACGGACCCTTGCTGAGAATCCTTTTTGCTATTGTCTAAATATGTTTTAAAATGCTTTCTGGAGTATTCAATCGCCTCCTCCTTTTTATCGGCTCGACATAGTTCAATGAATTCTTGAACGCGTAGATTAAATTCCAGCGTGCTCTGTAACGAAGAATAATTCGTGAGCAAAATGAATAAACGACAAATAAATCATAATATATATAAATTTGTTTAATACCATCCTCACGTACATTAATTTTGCGCAAGTTTGACCTATTCTCATTACACCATTTTAAGGCTTCGGTGCAACTATTTGCGCCTAGTTTGTGTCCCTGTAAATTGTTTCCTCGCAAAGCTTGTTCAATGGCACGTGCTTGCGTGAATAATTCAATGTCGGAAAGAGCCTTTAGAAAAAAAAGAAAAAAGCAACCTTTGAATAACCATTAAATTCCCGAGCTCAATAAGATGAATCAATAACACCCACTCCAATTTCTGACTCTGAAGCCAATAATTCGGCCGTATTACTGAAACCTTCTCTTAACATGTAATCAGCAAGTATTCTGTCGATTCGCTTTTCGTTCCACTTTTTGTATTCCGGGTCACCAATGTGTCTAATCTGTGTTAATTCTACGAGATGGTCAAGCCTCTTTCTACCCCTTGAGATATGCTTCTTTTCTTCCTCATTCGCTTCATTAAGCTAATTTGTAGGTGAAACAAAACACATAGTCAGCAAAGGTTTTTTGCAATCATCGAAATGGGAATCGACAATTATAATGAACCAAAATAAAGAGTACCTTGCGTTTCAGGCCTTCCAGTTTTTTGCCAATTGCCTCGAGGTTCTCACAAGCCAATTTAACGTCGATTTCTCCCTTGTTTGCCTGCTGGCAAAGATCTTTAACGATTGACGAAGCCTTGGCTAACTCCCTGTCTAAATCCTTGTGAGGCTTCATTGAGCGCTTCAATTGTTCCATGGGAACCTATTCGTTTGTGAATTGCGAAATATGCATTCTGAGCTTACAAAGGAGAGGTTTCCATCAATTATAATTATTATTATAATAATTATTATTATTTTAACCTTGAGGAAGGAACCTTCCAACGCCAGCAATGCTTCAGGATTGAATTTTTCCATTTTTTCTTATATACAGTATATATAAAAGCTAATCCGAGAAAAAAAAAAGAATAATAAAATAAATCTTGGTCGCACAACTTTTATTGTAGCAGGTCCATAGCTTGTCACATGTGTTGCGTCATAGTCAAGGAGATTTAAGGGGGACGTGCGCACGACGGAAGATGCGCACCTAGTTTTTTTCTCTTTTTGAATAACGCAAGAACGTGTAAACGGAGCCATCCTTACCCCTTTTGGCGTCTCTTCAAATATTTTTAAACCCGAGATGAATTTTCTAGGGCTGCAAGTATTCTTTTTACTTTGCAAAGTATCACTTTAAGAAAAGACGCGAAAATGACTTACTTCCATTCCTACAGAACCACCAAGAGCAAAACTTTCAAACCAAAGAAAAATGTACCCGAAGGAACTAAGCAATATCAACTTCAAGAGTACGCCAAGGCCACTCTCGGCTCGGGGAATCTGAAACTCGCGGCAATTTTGCCAGAAGGAGAAGACATTAATGAATGGTTAGCCGTTAATAGTAAGGATCGTGACGATGGTGGTTGATTGCAAAGGCTATTCTTCCTTTCTCTATTTTATATCCTCTTTCCGAACAATAGCGTACGAATTCTACAATCAAATTAACTTGCTCTATGGTACAATCGCCGAATTCTGTACCCCGCAAGAGTGTCCTGTAATGTCTGCTGGTCCCAAGTAAATAAAATTTCTCTAATACTTTTCAATTACTTACGCTCGCATTAAATTAATTACAATTTATCACTTCAGAGTCGAATACCTCTGGTCTGATAATGAAAAGTATAAGAAGCCTGTAGAACTATCAGCACCCGACTACGTAAATCATTTAATGGAATGGGTGCAGCGGCAGCTTGATGACGAAAGCATGTTCCCAAGTAACATAGGTGCATTGGGATCTCACTCATTTATACATAAAATAGTTCAGCAAACATAAACATATTTTACTGACCGTTTTTTTTTTAAAAATAATCCACAGGAGTTCCCTTTCCTAAGAATTTCCAATCTTCCGTTAAAGTGATATTCAAACGATTATTTCGTGTTTACGCGCACATCTATCTATCACATTTCTCCGCCATTACTGCATTAGGTGAGGAAGCTCATTTAAACACCAGCTTTAAACACTTTATTTACTTTGTTCAGGAATTTCAGTTAATAGAGAAAAAAGAGTTACAACCCTTGCATGAATTAATTGTAACTTTAACTAGCCAAGATTAATTCTTTGTTTCTAAGAAATTAGGACAGATTAATCACACTAAAACAATGATATTCTAAGGCTCGGTTTTAGTCATTTGTATTTATTCTTATTTTCTATTTTTGTATTTATAAGAAATTTTTGATATACTTCAATAAATTGCAACAGTTGACATTTCAATCATCCTTTCTACTGACCTAGATTAGACGACCAATGCCTTCAGAGATGAATTTATTGTTTATTTGTTTATTTGTTTTTTTTTTGATGAAATAATTTACCAGCATTCGTTACTATTTACTATGACTCCTGGAACGTGATCTTTTACGATGACTAGGACGATACGATGACGCCGTATACCTATCCCTGCTAAAATGTCTTCTACGGAAAGTCGGTTCGTAACGATCGTAGCCTCTATTTCCCGAACGGGATCGCGATCTAGAGCCCGACCTGGATCGGATTCTTGATCGTGGTCTCGATCTAGATCGAGATCGCTGTCGTCGCCGATTGGAAGGCACATCTTTATGAAAAAAGTTGATATGTGAACTCTAAGTCTCTAGTCGAAAACATTGTCTTCTACCTACATCGATCTGTCCCTTTGGGAGTTTTAGATCTACTTCTAGATCTGCTTCTCGACCTTTCACTCCTAGAATCATCATTCACACTTCTGCTCCTTTCCTTGCTTCTTTGTTTGTCTTCACGAGTATCAGATGCTGAACCCTCTTCCTCATTGGCCGAAGAAGATGTGTCGTCCTCATCCAAGAGCTCTTCAAGAACGCTCTCCCGAGGTTTTAGTTCTTTACTTTCTTCAAGCACATATCGTTTCGTAAGTCTCGGCAATATAATATCACATGCTCTTTCTTCACGCAATAGCTCATCGATAAATTCATCCATACACACTATCATAAACTCTCCGTCTTAATAAATTGTAGTTGTATTAAAGGTCAACGGTGATTAGCGTATGAATTCAGGTCTAGAGGTCGAACCGCTTGAACGAAAATTTGTGCTCCTCACCCATTGTCCGCTTTCGTAATTTTCGATAATCATTCAGTAAAGGTTCAAGGTTCTGATAAATTTCTAGTGAGGTTCCCACAAGTCTCAAGTAAAATGAGCCAAGAGCTCTCAAGTATCTAAGGATTGATTTTTATACGTTTAACGTCAAAGTTCTTTAAACGTTCGCGCTCCGGAAAAACATACTTGAAGTCCTCATTCCTAATAAACTCCAGTATAATTTCTTTGCTTGGTTGTAACTGAAGTAATTTTAATGTCAAACAAAGAAATTCGGTAGGCTTCTGGTTACCATATTGACCTCCAAAAGATGTCAATCCGTTTGCTCGATCAATTAAAGTTTCGGCTGTATGCAAGAATCTGAATTATTTCCTCTGTTCCTTATCTTCTTTTACTCGAGTTTCACCTGACATTACCTGTCAGACCGAAGCATGACTCTTTCCAGTAAAGGGACTCGTAAATTCTCGTTCTGATTATCTTTTCAATAAGGTATTGAGGATTCGTTCCGTGTACCGCGATCGCGTCCGAAACAGTTCGATTGGCCATTTTCTCATGAATTCAAGCTGGCGGTATCGTTGTCACATGAAACAATCCAAACTCTTAATAAAGTAAATTACATAATTTTTTTTTTTTTGTGCTTTATATTTCGAATCACATGATCCAAGTGTTAAAAAAAAAAAAAAAAAAAAAAAAAAAAAAATTTCCTTGCAGGCAACAATGTTGATAAACTTGCTCAAAACATCTGCTTTTACGCGTGTCCTAAGATCCTATCAATGTCAACCAAGAGTCCTAACTGTACGGTGGATCCCTATTTTTTTGCAGTAGTTTTGTTTTTTCGCGATAGAATCATTAACTCTTGTTTTAGCGAAAATACACTTCAGCAAAGGATCAGCAGGAGGTAATCTTATCTTACAGTCGAACTCTTTTGTCTATATCTATCGCCGTTTAACGTCAAGGAGTTTCGCATATAGCACTTGAACAAGCGATTGGTGGACACGGATCCCGAAATCTTTGACATCATAGAAATGGAGAAAAGAAGACAACGTGAAAGCATAGTCCTAATTCCGTCAGAAGTAACTTTCAAGATTCGATATACGAATTTATATGAACATTTTTTTACATAACATTGACTTCTTTTAAATATGCTAATATAAGAACTTCACATCACGTGCTGTCATGGAGGCGCTCGGTTCCGTCATGCAAAATAAATATTCGGAAGGATACCCCGGTGAAAGGTTGGATA